ATTCAGAGGCAGAACATTGAATAAACCTTCAGCTATTTAAATGACATTCACCATTGTCTAAAGTATCAGGCGATTACAGAAACAGCATTTCCAAAGGCATAAATAAAAGCACAAAACATATTGTTGAATGAGTTATCAGCCTTGAGAAGCTCTTCTGAACCTTAATAATCCACTTCTATGTCTAAAAATGACCATTATTTCTTTCCCAATAGAAGCTCTTCATTGAGCTACGTTCAATGGCATGTTGCGTTGTTTCCACAGAAAGCTGCAGAATGTGTTTTCAAGCTCATCATGCTGAATGCAGTGTGTATTGGTGATAACCTAAAGATGAAAGGAGCAGTTGTTGCAGCCAACCAGCTTCCACTCAGCGTGACAACAAACCCAGCGAGCCACTAACCGGATTGATATGGAGCGACAGAAGTGCTCTACTGGGGCAAACACTGCCAGTTTGACCAAGTGCACAGAGAAACAGCGGCACTGAATGTCCCCTGCGGTCTCGGTGTCATTTAAATGCTCTTTAGTCACTCTGTAAGTCACAAAAAATCCCTTCAAGCCTGCGACCTCTAGCTATTGACCTTATTCGACAAAGAGGGGAAACGCGACTTTGTGTTGCTGCCTTCATTACACTTAATTAGTTGGGTTTCTTATTATTGTTGAAGAACAGAAGTTCCTCTTCAACTGATTTAGCATGAGTTGCTTTTGAATGAGTCAAACTGAAATTATTCACTGGCCGAAGGCTAATTGGAAGCAATTTGTTTTACAGTCTGTTTTACATGTGCATACTGTGTACTTCTCATAGTAATTACATACTGGGTCATAATAAGGCAGTAACTAGGTAGTACCCCTGAACATAACCTTAAACCATGCCAAATGTTATTTTGTTGGACATGTAAATTTAAGTGCAATCAATCAGAATATTTTTGATTGTTTTGCCAATTGATTGTTTTATTAATTAGTTTAAAAATTTACTTTTGAATAATGTTAAAACTAAAGCAATCAAAAATGTACTTAATTAATTTGTGTTTTCAGTAACAACTTTGAGCTAATTTAATAAAGGGGTTAGTTCACCACATTTTGAGTTTCTTCTGTTGAACCCCAAAGAAGATATTAAAAAAAAAAAAAATCTAAAAACCATTGAACTCCAAAGAAAAAAAAAAAAAAACAACCCAGGGTCATGCTGAAAACGTACCACAATATGCATTTTTGCAAAAGTGTCAAATACATCCCAGAAGTTTTTTTTTTTTTTTTTTGAAGTTTTTGTTTTCACAAATCTACCAGAGGCTGCTGTGTACGCTTTTTGAGATCTCAAATTTCTCTCGCGAATGCCATTCAAGCCTCTGAAAAGAATTAATAAATAGCACACTCTAAAAAAAATAAATTAAAAAAAATTGTTATACAAAACTAAAAAAAACAACTTTTTTATATTAGCCAAATCTTTTCCTCTTCAATCAGAGGCATTTTTACATAGCAAAAACCTCAAATTTTTAAGAAGAGTACTCAAAAAACAAAGTTATTAAAATTGAAAACAAATCCTGTGTTATGTACTTAATTACATGCATATTTTCGAGTTTAGAACCTCAAATAAATTTATACATTTTTGTTTGTTTTCAAATTTACTGTTCATGCTTATACGAAATGCATTTAACAACATTTTTGTTTTTCGATATTTTTTTTTGTATTAAACCACAGATTTTTATTGTTTTACAAAACAAAGACATGTACTGTCCCATATTATCAGTATATAAAAAAAAAATCATTAACTTAAAATTATTCTGGCAGCTTTAAATTTTTAATCTAATCAGCATTTTGGAATTTTTAAGTTACAAAAATATATATAAAACTATGTAGTGGTGACAGACCTCTGTACTGTTTTTTGCCGTACTCAAACCCTGTCATCGTGGTCCTCCTATCAGTGCTGACGTACATGGCAAGCTACTGGGCAAACCAATGACTGTAAAAAATATGGACGACGCGACAGCCCTTTTTCCCATTGAACGCCTTGAGGGCAAAACGCCTGCTTGACGGGCACAAACTGTCGCAAAAGACTGCTGAAATTGGAGCCAGACATGCGCAGAAGGACTGTCTGATGGAGCCAGAGGAGGAGCCGCGAAAATGAGCAGAGTCGAGCTTCCAATCAAACGCTTTATGTAAAATCAACTACGCCCCCCGAACTTCTCAGCATGCGTTTGCTGTCATATCAACACAAATGGATGTAATAACGTTAACAAATATGAGGGTTTTATATATTTAATCGCGCCAGCTCCGGGCTGCAGCGCATAACTTACTCGCGGCGTCGCGGGCTGATTCCGGCTCGCATGCGGCAGCGCCGGCTCGCTCGGCCGCCGCATCTGGC